CCCCCCCCCCCCCCGCCAGCGCCTGCACCTTCATCTCCCGCGCATTCTTGTCCCTCTTGCGCTCCATACGCCACAGCTGGGACATGCACTTCTCCAGGTTGGCGGCTCGGTGGCGGTACTCCATCTCGTAGTGCTGGCGGCTGTCCTTGGATGGGGTGGAGAGAGGAGGGCGACCCCCGTGTCAAAGAGCTCAAGGCACCTGGCTTATGGGCCAGAGTACTGGACAGGGGCAGGGGCTCAGCTGGGAACATGTATAACCTGGGGCCAGTCCATGCCCAGCGCTGGCCTCAGTGTGCCCATCCCTCAAAAGGGGAGAGACGGTCCTGCGGGTGGTGGGCCGTGGGGCCAGGATGCGCGGCCAGACTCACTTTGATGAACTGCATGTCCAGCTTGGTGTTCTTCTCCATGTGCTGCAGCAGGTCTCCATGGAATGTCTGCACCTGTGTGGAGCGCAGGGTGGGGGTGATCAGGGCGGCCCTATCATCCCCAGGCCCCAGAGTTCCTTGCACTGCTCACTCCAGTACATTACCCACTGCATTCCTAACACACCAGGCACCTCGCCAATCATCAGAGAAATGGGTAAAACAAGAGCACCTATTTGGATGGAGAATTAAATGGTTAAACATACAAAACATTTAGTGCAGTCCCCGGCTTGAAACACATCCTCCATAAATGTGTCGACATCTTCCGCTTCTTAGTCTCAGTCTGTGCCTTGATTATGCCTGGAATTTCCTACCAGTCTTCAAATACCAGCTTCACTGGCCCCTCTGCTGGGACGCCCCCCCAACTCCTCAGGCAGAATTCATCACTCTCTCATTTTGTTTCTGGCATGTGTACAACTTGTTTGTTCATTGTTCGCTCCTCCAGCCATAAGAAGGAATTTCTTGCCGGGCCCCTGGTCATAGCCTGTTTGTATGGGCAGCATGAACCAGGTCTGTCCCATCTCTGTGTTTCCAGCACCGTGGGCTGGGCCTGGCCCAGCAAAAGAGCTCACAACTGTTGAGGGCTTCACTGGGGTGGCAGGTTCCTGTGACAGGTGAGAAGGAGGTGGCTGACCACTTGGGTGACCAGGAGGGCCAGGAAGGCTATTGGGCTCAGGCTCAGAAAAGCTTCGTTCTAGCCGTTTTGGTTCTGCCTCCAATTTGCCCTGTAACTTTGGATGAGTTGCTGCCCCTCCCTGGGCCTCAGTTTCCCCATCTGTAATGGGAAAGTTTTGCCCAGATGGTCCCTAAGGTCCAGCCCTAGAACCCAATGAGCTTGATTCTGTGGGCCTTGGTGGCCAGCTGGCATGTTCCCCTGTGTCCCCCATCAGTGCTCCCTGGGTCACTCCATGTTGTTAGGACATCAGACCTAAATCCTTCCATCTGTACTCTTTGCAAAGAGGAGCATCTTCCATCCTGCTGCCGCCTCTGGGGACACTTCCAACCCTGCTCAGCCTTCTCTGTCTGCCTGGCCTTTCCCCTCAGGAGTCCCGGCTCAAGAACCCTCGGTGGGGGACTTCCCTGGCAGTCTAGTCGTTAAGACTTCGCCTTCCAATTCAGGGCGTGCAGGTTCGGTCCCTGGTCGGGGAGCTAAGATCCCACATGCCTCGCGGCCAAAAAACCAAAACATAAAACAGAAGCAATATGTAACAAATTCACTTCCAACCCTGCTCAGCCTTCTCTGTCTGCCTGGCCTTTCCCCTCAGGAGTCCCGGCTCAAGAACCCTCGGTGGGGGACTTCCCTGGCAGTCTAGTCGTTAAGACTTCGCCTTCCAATTCAGGGCGTGCAGGTTCGGTCCCTGGTCGGGGAGCTAAGATCCCACATGCCTCGCGGCCAAAAAACCAAAACATAAAACAGAAGCAATATTGTAACAAATTCAATAAAGACTTTAAAAACAAAAAAAAGAACCTGAGTGGATCCTGGCTCCTGCCACGGGGGTCCCCAAGCTGTGCTGTGGGAGCTCTGTCCCTCAGGAAAAGGAATGCTGGTCATCAGGAAAGACCAGTAAATTATAAAAGTTCTCAGTTTTTCTTCCACAGTTGTTTCTGAAACCTTGCTAACTGCTGGTCTATAAGGGAGCTTGGGTGTGGCCCCCTCAGGACTAGCCGGGCCTTAAAGCCCTGAGTGTGGCTGCCAGTGTGTGTTTTGGGGGGTGGCACGGGATCAGTGTTACAAGCCTCTCTGAGTCCCTATTTCTGCCCCATGGGGGCCCTTTTCTGCTGGATCCAGGCAGTAAGGAAGTGAGCCTTCCTGACCTATACCTGCGGGACCTCCCGGTTCAAGGTTCTGCTCCAACACAAGACACATGTTCCTGAAAACTGCCACATCCTGCCAAATCGCCCAATATAAACAACAGGGCTTATGGAAGATGCAGGGTTGGGACTGATGCTCAAAACCCAGGCAACTTGGCAACCAGAGCACTAATAGAGACGGTGAATGGTACCTGGAGAGATGAACTTGAACCACGCCTAAGGCCGTGGAAAATATTAAAAATGCACAAAACCAATAGAATGGACACACTGGCAACACTTGAATTACTGCAGAGCTGGAATGTTGAGGTGATTCAGGAGGAGGTGGGGCTGTCATAATGGTGGAAATGGGAGGCTGCGACACCCACCACCAGCTGAGAGCCCCGGGAGACTGGAGGTGCTTGCCCTCCCCAGGGAGGCCTGGGTGCAGGAGCTCTTTTAAAATGTTCTTAAAATACAGCCTGGGGCTTCCCTGGTGGCGCAGTGGTTGAGAGTCCGCCTGCCGATGCAGGGGACACGGGTTCGTGCCCTGGTCCGGGAGGATCCCACATGCCGCGGAGCGGCTGGGCCCGTGAGCCATGGCCGCTGAGCCTGCGCATCCGGAGCCTGTGCTCTGCAACGGGAGAGGCCACAACGGTGAGAGGCCCGCGTACCACAAAAAAAAAAAAAAAAAAAAAAAAAAACAGCCTGAAGGGCTATTGCTTTCAGTGCAGCAGACAAGCTAGGGGCTTTACCCTTCTTGCTAATTCCTAACTTTCCCCTCCCCTTGCCTAGGAAACCTCACTTATGAACAAGCCACCTTCCACGTCATAGGGTACGGCTCCTGCTTCTAGTCGCGTAGGGACTATGTCATGCCATGGAAAATGCATTAGAGCAGGACAGGTGGATTGTAATTCTTCTCATTACCAGGGCTTGGCTGTGATCGCCAACAGCATAGAGGACACAGACCCAGGATGCCCCAATCAGACGGGGCCCAGGCATCAGTGGGTTAATGGAAAGTCATTGTCAAGCTCCCGAAGAAATTGATCTAATAAGATGTTGATACTTGAAGAGAACTTTGAACTCTTGCTGTGGGGGAACAACAGGACTGCCTATAATTAGCCGGTGGCTTCTAAAACAATGAAGTCACCAAATCCAGGGCAGGCTGAGGAATTCCCAGCAAGTCGGAACAGAGGCTGCCGTGCCCTGCTCCCCTCCCCCTGGGACACGCTCCATTAGCGGGGTCTTGTGAGCCCCTCAGTATAGAAGCTGAGAGCAGACCCACTGCTGAGAACATGCACTGTAAGTTCTATGTATCGAGTTATTCCAGTAACTTGAGAAATCCTTTTGCTTTTGATACAGGGAAATCCCTTTGAAAGAATTGCCTCTGTGGGCTGACCCCAGCTCCTTTCTTCCCATTTGCTCTTGAACACCCTCCATCAGGCTCCTGCCCCACCACGCCAGCAAGAGTGTTGTTCTCAAAATCACCGAGACGGCACCTCGCTAAGCCCCATGATCAATTCTCAGGACTCACCCAACTTGCCCCTTCATAATCATTGGACACAGTTGCCCACTCGCTCCTCCTGAGACAAGTTCCTCCCTCAGCTTCCAGCCCACCACCCTCTCCTTGTTTTCCTCACACACCCTGGCTGCCTCTTCTCTGTCCTTTGCTCAGTCCCCCTCATCTCCCTGGTCCCCAAAGGTTGAGTTGCCCCGGGGCTCAGCCATGGGCCTCTTCCCTTCTCTATCTACACCACTCCCTTGGTGAGCTCATGCAGTCCACTGGCTGATGCCTCCCAGATGTATGTCCCAGCCCAGATCCTCCCCCAAACTCCAGTCTCATCCATACGACAATATGGGCTCCATTCAGCCAAGAGGAAGAGACGAATATTGAAGATAGGCTATGAAGGTCTAACACACAGATAATAAGAGTCCCTGAAGAAGAAACGCAGAGAAAGAGAACAAAAAAAAAAGTCTAAAAATTGTAATTCCAGACAAGTTTCCTGAAATTAAAAAAAAAAGAGAAAGATTTCAAACTACATATTGAAAGAGGACACCACATAACTAAGAATATTGTCCCAGACTGACCAATATCAAGAAATAGTCTGGAAAAGTTACTAGATTTAAGAAAAAGAAAAAAATTGGGCATCTAAGGCAAAAAAAGCAAGTGATTTACAATGGAAGAAATAGATTATCAGACTTTTCAACAGCAACATTCAAGATGAAAGAAAAAGAAAGAAAAGAGAGAAAGAAAGAAAGAGAAAGAAGGAAGGAAGGAAGGGAGGGAGGAAGGAATGAAATGTGAGCCAAGAATTTTATATCCAGCAAATCTGACTTTCAAGTATAAGGAGAACAAGCTGTTATCTTGGTGTCAGAACTCAGAGAACATTGTTCACACGAGCCCTTCCTGTGCGGACAATCAGAACAAGGCCAAAACGACGAGCAAGACATGGACACGTGGTTTGAGGTGAACATTAAATATGTAGTTACTTGTAAACAAAGATCAATGAGGGTGAAAGGGGAGCAAGCAAGGTACAGCAGCTCTGGGTCCTGACAGTGTAGGCAAAGTGCAGCTGCAGATACGGCGTTTTTCACACATTGAAGATTTGTGGCAACTTTACGTCAAGCAAGTCTATCAGTGCCATTTTTCCAACAGCATTTGCTTACTTTGTGTCTGTGTCACACTTTAGTAATTCTCGCAGTAGCTCAGACTTTTTTGTTATTGTCATAATCTGTTGTGGTGATCTGTGATCAGTGATCTTTGATGTTACTATTGCAAAACATTACGACTTGCTGAAGGCTTATATGATAGTTAGCATTTTTTGGCAATAAAGTACTTTTAAATTAAGGTATGAACGTTGTTTTTTTTTTTTTGACATAATGTTATTGTACACTTAATAGACTACAGTATAGTGCAGACATAACTTATACGCACAGGGAAACCAAAAAATTTGTGTGACTCTCTTTATTGTGATATTTGCTTTTTTGCGGTGGTCTGGAACAGAACCCACAATATCTCCAAAGCATGCCTGTATTTTGAAAGTGGGGAGATGCTGGGGAGAGCAAATGTAAAACAGATTTTAACAGTTCTCAGAAATCATATTGGTGGTGGTAGAATTACTATCATTATTCAGAGACTGTTGTGTATACGTAACATGAGATAAAGCAAACGGTGACTATGGGATATTCTTATTCTTTCATTCTCTGTATCCTTAAGAATCAGGACTTTTTTTGGGCTGCGCCGCATGGCTTGCAGGATCTTATTTCCCTGACCAGGGATTGAACCCGCACCCTTGGCAGTGAAAGCATGGAGTCCTAACCATTGGACCACCAGGGAATTCCCAAGAATCAGGATTCTTGATGTGGAACAAAAGAGATACTGGTGGAATAGGGAAGAGGTTAAGTAAAAATCTAGGCTGAATCTGAATTGCAAGTATCAGTATGAATTTTATGAAGTGTTCTATCTTTAACTATATATATTTTCACGTATGTGTGTGTATATATATGTTTGTACAAATGTATCTATGCGTGTATGTATCTATGTATGTATCTAGGCATATATCTATGTATCCAGGCATATGTAGCATATCTATTACATGCACATATGTATGTATGTATGTCTGTACAGCACTGGCCACTGAAAAAGCCTAGGAGCAATGATCAACCCAATGGACACCCCTAGTGCCCAGATTATGGTCTTGAAATACCACTTTCCACTAAAAGCAAAAAATAAAAACAGGGCTTCCTGGGGAGATGGCTGATTCTATGTGTAGAGGAGCAAAGTACCAGATGAGGGCAGAACATCTTGTCAGGCTGGATAGCAAGGAGACTGTCCAAACCATGAGAGTTATGCCAAAGGACTCGTGTGCCAGACTGAAGAGGCTTCGGCTGGTCAAAGCGGGGACATTTTCAACTTCAGTGAAATAATGATTACAAAGGAGTAAAACACAACAAATACGTTTAGATCTATGATACTGACTAGATACTAAAAAATATGATACTAAAAAATATTATAATGATGGTACTAGTAAAAAAATAAAGCTAACCGGTCACCTTCAGAGGATGACAGGGAGAAAATTCATGATCTTGAAAGCTGACAAGGCAGGAATAAGCCTTTATCCTGTCTTTCCCATAAGAAGCGTGCCACTGGGTAAGAAATAGCACATAAGAAGAAACGTCTCTTTAGAGAAATATTCCAGTTCCTAAGTGAGAGAGCAGCAGAATAGCAGCATCTTGTAAGTCCCACGTATGAGTGGGTGTGGACACACAGCCTCCACGGCTGTTACTGTCACAAGGTGGCAGGAGCCACATGCCTCCTGATGGAAGAAGCCAGCACCCACTCTAGTCTTGCCAAACGGATGGAACCTGAGTCTGATCGAGCTTCTGGGTCCAGAGGACAGAGGACCAAGCTGAGCTGCATGAGGAGTGTTTGGAAAACCAACAGGTCAAAAGGTCCCAGGCCCTTCAACAGATAAATGGTAAGGAAAAGAAAGGGATGGAGGGGGAGCCAGTAGATTAAAAGAGACTCAAAGACATATTTTAAAAAAAGAGAGAGCAAGACAAATTCTAGCATCCAGGGACATACAATTGGGTGATCAATTACGAAGAAACACAAGGCAGTGTCGGACCAGTGGTCACTCTTGGAGGAAGAGGGGGTCTGTGATTTGATGGGGGCGTGTAGAAGGGCTCCAGGAAAGGCTGGCAAAGTTCCTGACCCGGGTGGGAGTTTCAAAGGTGGTTTGCCTTATAATGATTCATTAAGCTCGAATTTGTTCAGTGACACTTTCTATGCCTGTATTTTAGTTTACAATAAAAAAGGTTTGGTTTTTGAAAACCAAACCTGAGTCAGATCCTGTCATTCCTTTGCTCAATACACTCAGAGGCATGGCCGGAATTCCGACAATGCCCTCAAGGCCCGGCCCCTTTAGCGGCTGGTCATCTCCACGCTGGCCTTCGCTGCCTCCACTCCGGCCACGTGGGCATCCTCAAGCCTTCCCATGTGCCGATCCCTCTGCCCAGAACACTCTTCCTGCAGGTGTCTCCCACTCACTCCCCACCTCCATCAGGCCTCTTCTCAATGTCACCTTTCTAGTACCTTTCATCTTGAGCATCTGTTAAAAATTGCATCCCTCCAATACTTTCTATCCCCCTTCCCTGGTCTATTTTTCTCCATAGCTTATTTTGCATCTAACCCATCACATCTGTAATCACTTACTTGTCCTGGGTTTTGTCTGGTTCCCCCTTGGGGAGAGCAGGGGGTTTTGTCTGCTGTATCCCCAGTACCCATAGCAGTACCTGGCACAGGGCAGTAAATAGTTGTCGAATGAATGAGCCCAAGGGGGAGGTGGCCTCTGGTGTGTTCGGCCCAGTATGGCTCTGGCCAAGGGCCCTGCCCTGTTGTCACAGCCAAGACACTGGTACCCAAAGAGGGCAGCTCTCCTTACAGAGCAGGCCTGGGTGACACTCGTCCGCGTCCAGCCCAGGTGTGCCACAGGTGACATGGAGAGCCATCAGTCACAAGGACAGGAAGTTGCAGGCTGCCAGCGTGACCCATGCTCTGTAACTCCCTGCCCAAGCCCCAGGAGGTGGCACAGGCTCAGCGCTAAGCCTCAAAGTGCCTAGGAGAGGGATCCAGGATCCTGGTTTTATCGAGTATAGTGGATGCATGTTTTCTGCTGGTGAATTTGTTCCCCATTTCAACATGGTTACCAAACTGATGAGTATTTTATGGTGTCCCCAAAGAGTATCCAGACCTCCAGTGGTTTCCCACACACACGTTTGAGAACCGCGCACTTCCACGATTAGTTGAAATTTCCTTCCGAACTTTCCAAGGTTCCTCACACCCAGCCCCGCCCACCTTTCCCTCTCTGCCCATCCCCAGCTCTCTTCTGCCCGATGCCATGCTCTGCACATGCTCAGCCCACAGCAACCTCTGGAAGGCCCTCTCTTCTCCTCTCCCTCTGGCCCAGCCCCGCTCCCTTTTCAAAGCTTATTCTTTCCTTCCCAGGCAGTGAAGCCCTGCTTGGTGCCAGGTCCCTGTCCCAGGCCCTGGAGTTACAGAGAAGACCGTGTCCCAGCCCTGGCACAGCTTCCAGTCTTGGCAGGGATAGAGACGGGGGTAAATTCTGCTTCTAATGATCATAGCTAAGGTACATAGAAGGCTACAGGTGCCAAGGTCAATAGTTTATGCTTATTAATACAATTAATGCTCACAAGAATCCTGCAAGGCAGTTATTATGATTATCTCCATTTCACAGACAGATACACTGGGCCATAGAGGTTAAGTAGCTTGTCCAAGGCCACAAAGCCAGTAACTGGTGGGGCTGGGCTTTGAACCCAGGTGCTCTGGCTGCAGAGCTGGTTTTCTTCACCACTACTTGCTAAGAATGGATAGAAGCATCTGTTGAAGTCCAGAGGGAGGAGAGACTGAACTTGCCCAGGAGTCAGGGGAGGCTTCCTGGAGGAGGGGGTGACTGTGCTGGCCAGCAGGGGTGGGGGTGGGTGGGTCCTAGGCTGAGAGAACAGCGTGACAGCAGCCCGCGGTGGGGACGCCAGGCGTGTCTGCAGAGGGCAGCTCTTCCGGCTGGCTGGGCTGTGACTGGGGGTGCCAGGGAGGCTGCTGGCTCAGCAGGACCTGGAACCCCTTACCGAGGGGCTGGGTTTAGTTCTGCAGGTGGCAGGGCCGTGGAAGGATTTTCTCCTAGGTGTGTAAGGTCAGATCACTGGCTGCTCCCTGGGGAGGCAGGTAGGGGCAGGGCCCGATGCACGTGGGTGACAGTCCTTTCACTTCCTGGCTCCTCCACTCACTCTGGAATCTTGGGCGAGTGGCTAGATCCCTGAGACTCAGTTTCCTCCTCTGCCAAATGGAGATAGAAATGGCACCTGCCTCCCAGGTTGCTGGAGCTTGAACAAGATGTGCAGGTAAATGTGCCCAGCAGAGCTGGGCCCTGGCAGGTGCCCAAAAGGGCAGCCGCTGTTGTTATGTCACCAAAGTCCTCTCTGAGGAAGGGTGTGGAGGCCCTCGTCCCCCATAGAACACAGCCCACTCTCCCAAGTGACCCCTCCAGGCTGTGGGGTCTGGGACTCACCACCACCTCCAGGTCAGAGTTCAAGTGCCGCTGGGTGTCGGACATCTGCACCAAGATCTCACCTGGAGGCACGGAGAGCAGCAGCTTCAGTGCGGGGACCTACCCTGCCCACCCTCTTCCCACCAGAAGCTGTCAGAGGGCCTGCCCAAGGCTGGATTTGGGGACCAAAGTCCAGGGGTTCCCCATATGACTCAGGGCCTCTGGCAGCACCTGTCCTAGCCCTGGCAAAGTCCTACAGGGAGGGGAGCGGAGGGTCCCTGGCTCCAGAACAAGAGTCTGGGGTCTGGGCCTTGGGCTGCAAGACCTTTGTCTTTGGGGGGGACTTCCTGGAAGGGCCAGACTGTAAAAGGAACCTTCTCTGGGACCTGAGAATGGGGGGCAAGGCCGGTCCCGGGCCTGAGGGGAGGCACCAGGGAGGCAGGCAGAGGGGGGCCCGGAGCCTGGAACACAGGAGGAGGCCGGTGGGGGGGGGGGCTAGGAGGAGTGTCCCCCAGGCCTAAGAAGATGAGTGGGGGAGATGGAGGGGGAGAGGCGTGCCTCACCCAGGATCTGCGAGGTGGAGCTCTGCAGGGCCTGCTCCCCGATCTTCTGGATGGCGTTGAAATACACTTCTGCCGCCTCAGACAGAGCTGCGTGGAGAGAGGGATGCGTCCAGCCCCAGAGCCCTCCTCCACGTGCCCCTCCCCACTTCCGGGGGCCTCTCCGCTGGCAGGAGAGAGTGTGGAGGGGTTGCCTCGGGCTCTGGCGTAGGTGTGTGTGAGAGGGACAAGGGTGCCCTGGGTGGCGTGTGTGGAGAGGTGGCATCGGCCAGAGGAGGGGGTGTGGAGGAGGGGGGTGTGTGAAAAAGCGGGGGATGGGCTCTCCCTGCGGGGCAGGGCGCAGGGCAGCTGCCCCCAGCACAGGGCCTCGGCCTGTGCCTGTCTGTCTGGGAGGGGGCGGGGTGCAGGCATCTGTGTGTGCCCGGGAAGGCGTGTTGTGAGGCATGAGGTGGGGCTGGGGGTGGCAGGGGCTGAGGTCACTGCTGTGAGGACTCTGAAGTCCTAAAGGGCGGGGAGGGATTGGGTGACACTCAGCTCTGGGTGTGTCCCTGGCTTGTCCATCAGGCAGGTGGCTCACAACCCTCTGCTGATTAGCTCTGGGGGTGGGGCAGTTGCTGGGAAATGGGGGAGATGGGAGCTGTTTTCACAGGCGCTGAGCGAGTGGTGAGGTCTGGCTGTAGGTGGCTGGAAGCGGGGCTGGTCAGGGTGCCAGGCTGGGGGTGCAGAGGTGGCCTGGGTATGGCAGTGTGCTCAGTGGCAGCATCAGGGTGACATAGAGAAGTGTGTGTCGTCGGGGTTTTGAGAGACTGCAGGGCCTGGCACTCACCGTGGAAGGCCCGGAGGTAGTTGTTCCCCAGGTACACCAGGTTCTCCAGGGCAGGGTTGAACTGCTCCATGATGCTCTGGAGTCCAAGGGTGGTGGGAGGGTAGAGATGGGGAGAGGAAGACGGAGTGATGGGCCTCAGGATCAGGGGACCCCCAACCCCAGTGAGAAGCCTGACTCAGGGGGGCCCGCCTAGAAACCTGGCGTCACCCAGAATTCTGGCTCTCTGCTGCAAGGACCTCAGAGGCCAGGATCCAGACCGGGGTCCCCTTGGCCGGCTCCAGGTCGCCACCTGCCCAGCGGGAACTTGTGCCTGGAAGGTTCTCCTCCCACTGGCTGAAGCCTGTGGTCTGTCACAGCGCCCAGCTGGGCGTGGCTCAACGCTGCCTCGAGTTCAGCCACCTCAGGGGCAAGGGCAGACCTTGCCCTGCTCGAAGAAGAGCCTCTGGGGAGCAAGGCTGTGGCCGGGTCCCTTGGGCCGCCGCAGGCCATGGCCAGCTGGAGAGCACCCTGGGTAGAGGACTTAGACTTGGGTCTTGATTCAAATCTCAGCAGCCCCTCTTCTTCCCTTGGTGACTTTGAACTAGCTGTTTAGCATCTCTGGCCTCAGTTTTCTTATCTCTCAAATGGGGTGATTATTTTCTACCTCAAAGATAGGGTGTTGTGAGGTTTACATGTTGAAAGGGTCCTGCACACAGGAGGTGCTCGGCAAATGTCTGTGGAGACTGCAGCAACCCCCCTGGAGTCGAGTAGGAAGTTTGAGTGAGGGACTCAGAAACCAGAGAGAGACAGAGAGACAGAGACAGGGAGACACAGAGTGAAAGAGACAAAGAGAGACTCCCCTACCCTGGGGCGGCCAGGTGGCTCTTCGGGCGGGCGCACTGCTCCCAGCTAAGGCCACCCTGGGCCCTGTCCTGCTTCATCCAGGGTTTGGGAGTCTGTCTCAGCAGTCCTGTCACTCGCTGGATGAACCCGTGCTCTGGGAGCCTCAGGGCTGGGGCTGGAGTGGCCCACTGCCCCCAGGGACCCCCCACCCCCATGCCCACTGCTCAGCCCAGCCTGGTTCTGGGCCTTCTTTCCTGGAACAAGCTGCTGCTATGCTCACTCTCTGTCCTCCAGAGCTGGCCGACCTTCGAGCCCTGGGAGCGGGGGCGGCAGCCAGGGCCTGGGCCACGCACACACTCACCTTGTAGATGGTCATGGTGGACCTGTAGAACTGGTCCATCTCGGGGGCCATGGAGTGGGCGCACCCGGGCACTGAGTAGAAGGCTGGTGGCACTAGCAGGCCTGGGAGCACTGGGGGTCGGTACCCTCCAATGCCCACTGCTCAGCGGGCTGTGAAGGAGGCTGCAGAGTGGGACCCGGAGATGGAGGGCTGGCCAAGGAGGAGGTGGTAACTTAATTATTCACCAGCCGGGGATGTCAGAATGCGATCTGGGGCGTAACCAGACCCGGCGGGGAAGGCATTCTGTGACGCGGACGGGTTCGTGTGACCTGCGCTTCAATTATTTACCCCTCTGAGCCGCGGACTGGTGGGCACGTGTGGATGGCCACTCTCCTGGATCACCTCCTCTTCAAGGAAGAGCCTTTCCCAGGCCAGCAGGGACCCCTAGCTCTGGGGGACCCCCGCCTTCCCACCTGCCTACACTGAGCAGTGCCCACCCTATTGGGCTCGAGCTGTGCAGTGACCACCCCCGGACCCTCCCTAGAAGTCCGTCCCTGCAGGTGGAAGGCACACACGGCTCGTCACTGTTCTCAGGCCCCCTCTCTACCCTGAGCCCCTCAGACCTGCAGCCCAGGGGCTGAGGCTCCTACGCCCGCTGCCGCCCGCCCAGAGACGGGACAGCACAAACCCTGGAGTTGCACAGACCTGCGGGCACGCTTTGGCCCTGGTCACTTGCTGTGTGACGGTGCCCGAGCCCCCTGCCCTCTCTGGGTCTCATCCCCTCCTCTGGCAAGTGGGGCTCTCCCTTGCCCTCCACCGTGGGGCAGGCGGGCCTGGCGGCCGCCTCTGCACACCCTCAGGCCCTGATCTGGGGAGGCCTAAAGAGAAAAGTTGTCCCTGGCCCGCGGAGCCTGGGAACCAGAGCTTCCATCCGTCTGCCTGGGCACAGGCAGGTGACAGCCAAGGCTGAAGGTCAAGGCTGAGGGGGGCTGGTGGGTGGGGGGCACTCACACCACAGTGCACACAACACAGGCAAACCAGAATTGAACCATTTATTTCACAGTTTGGGGCAGTCCCTGGAGCCCCTCTCCAGTCATAAACCACTTTCTGTTGGGAAGAATAACTTAAGTCACAGGAGCGACCTTTGAGAGCTGAGAGCTCATGGGTGGGCGGCTGGGGTGCGCGGAGGGGCAAAGTCGAATGGGACACCCCACTCCTAGGTCTCCCCTCCCGATGGGGTGGTGATGGCCCGCTTCTCTGGCTCCACCCCCAGCGGAGAGGGCAGAGGGTAGAAGGGGTCTCTGCAGCTCCAGGGGCCCGGGAAGAACCTGGGGCCCTCTGGGAGGCCTTAGTGTTTGAGCCACCTTGGGGGTCAGGGAGCAGCCTGAGTGAGGCCTGAGGCTTTCTAAGCTGGAAGGACACAGAGTGCCAGCAGGCAGGGGCAGAGGGGGAGAGAGGCCTGAGGACCAGCCTTAGGCAGGAAGCCCGGTGCCCCGCTAGGCCGGGTCTGTGGACACAGAGCCGCCTGGGCCTGGCTCTGCCCCGCCTCCCAGCTGGGCCTGGGCGGGTGGGGTGGGGTGGGGACGGCTGGGGGCCCGGCGGCCTCACGGTGAGAGCAGCAGTTGGATGAGCTTCTGGAACTGCTCCCGGTGCTCGTAGATGTAGACCTCAGTCTCCCAGAGGGCGTTGACCAGCACCGTGTCATTGACCTCGTCCAGCATGATGTCTGTCCCCAGCTGGGGACTCAGTCTGTCCGGATCAAGGAGGAGGCGTCACCCCCAGGACACTCGGCCTGGGTGGGGGACGAGGGCTGGGACTGGGGCGGACTCGGGACGCAGCACCCCCTTGGGGAAAGGGCCAGCCCAGGCTGGGGACTGGGGCCAGCAGCGCCCTCACCTGAAGTATTGGGTGCCAACCATCTCGCACCAGGCCCGGGCCCGGTCCACGGCCCGCCCGTCCGGATCTGTGCACTGGTGAGAAGCAGCCTCTGTGAGCGTCCAGCGCACACCACACACACGGCCCCTGCCTGGGGTCCCCAGGTTCCAGGTTGGCTTAGCCCCCTATCAGCAGAGTGACTTGGGGCAAATCCCCCTTTCCGGGCTGTAGTGACTGTCCCAGCTACGCAGAGGGGCGCAGTCTGTGGCTTTGAAAGGTGGCTCGGCAGCATTCAGAGTCAGTGAGCGTGGAGGGGCTGAGTGGACAGGCCTCCACCTCCCTGCCCCCTTAGCTTTTGTCCATCTGACATTCTGGGCTTCCACATGGGCTGTGTTTGAAGGAAGAAATCCACAGCTAAAAAATGCTTGAAAATCCCACTGGAGGTGGTCACCGAAGGTCCCTGCCAGCATTGAGGCACTATAGGGGAAGGGGAACCCCCCTGCCCCGAGCTGGCTGCGGAGGGTCAACAGAGCCCTGCCATCCCCATGACACCCAGGGTCCCACGGGAAGCCTCATCCTGGGGCTGAGATCCCGAGGGAAGCGGGCCTGGGGAGGGGCCCATACTCACACAGTCCACCACCATCTTGCCCAGTTCCTTGGCCCCAAAAACAGTCTTGGCCAGTTCCCAGGGGCTGCTGGGACGGAAGACGTCCACACAGGTCACAGGCACCTGCGGGGACCTCCCTGTCCCCAAGGAGACGACAACGGAGAGTTTCTTCACCTTGTTGCCCTGACCCTGTTGGGACAGGACAGGTGAGAGGAGGCCTGCCGCACAGATCGGGGGCACCCGGGGGGTAAGAGAGAGGCTCCCTGGGGGACTGTGAAGAGGCGTACAGGCCTCCTGTGGCAGAAGCACAGCCCGTGCTGCCTCTCTTTTGCTTCGCAACAAGTTCTCCTGCCAATCTTCTGGGCGACCTTGGCAACCCACCTACCCAGGCTCCCCATGCACTCAGATGAGTGATGTTTGAGCACCCTTCCCCATCCCACCGCCTCTCACTGATTCCTTCTTCCTCCAGGAAGCCTGCCCTTCCACATCTGGCCCCTAGAGAGCGCTCACCTCCCTGCCGCCTGCGGTTTCATCAGGGGCTTGGTGATGACCGCAGTGACAACTACAGCCAACAAGGATGCGGCACACTCAAGGTCAGGCACTGTTCTAAACACTCCACAGATAAGAGGCCACGGAAGCCTCACGGAAGTCCCCAGGCAGGTACTATCAATAGCCCTAGGCAGTGGCTGAAGTGAAGCATGGGCAGAGACAGGCCCCAGACCCAGAGGCGGGCCCCACACCACACTGCTCCTCCTAACCTGCGTGGGCCTTGCCCACCTCTGCACTAAGCTCCTCGGGCTGAGGGCCGCTTCTCTTCCTCCGGATCACTGACTCTGCCCTGCCCCATCCCCAAAGGCCTCAGCATGGGCTCCCCTCCTCTGTGAGCCCTTTCTGAGCCCTCATGTCTCTCAGCAGGGGTGATGCTCCTGGGCCCCTGCACAGTTCTCTGTCACAGCACCTAAAACACTCGGATGGATGTGTCCTTGTTTATGGACTGTCTCCCCTAAATGTGAGCTCCCCAAGGGCAAGCGTGTGTCTCCAGGCCGGGCAGCGTGGCTAGGCCTGTAAACTGGCACATACTGGTGTGCATGCTGTCCTCCCCACAAACAGCAGATGCTGTTAATTGATCATAACACCCTTCACCACCTAGTCCCGATTGGGCCTCAGAATCCCTCTTAGCACAGTGCTTTGGGCAGACACCACCAATCAGGCAGGTTCGAGTGTGACATAAAATTGCTGTTAAGTGCACAAATGAATGAATGCATGAAGAAAAGCCATTTGCTCTCCCAGGAGTCAGCCCAGAGTACAGTCAAGGCTTGCAGAAACAGGAGAGGCCGCTGTGGGCGGTCAGTTCCAGCCCCTCCAACCCAAGGTGGCTCTCACCTTGCGGATCAAGTCCTGGTTGTACTCATGGATCTCCGTCATGGCGTCCAGCGTGGGGTTGTTGGCCAGCAGCCCGCCATCCAGGAAGCGCCCGTTGGGCCGGAAGTAGGTGGGGGCTGCCCCACTGCTCCGGGCTGCCCGCCACACCAGCTGCTCTGGGGGTGGGGGAGGAGGGGGCCCAGTGGCACAAGAGATGTGCGTTTCAGATCTAAGGGTGTGTGTGTGTGTATGTGTGCACATGGCACTGTGGGAAGACGGTGAGGCTGGGGACTCTTCAGAGGCAGGACTGACAGGCCATGCTGTCTGGCCCCGCCATCCTGGTGGAAGGCAGGGTGCAGCCTGCCCGAGGCCTGATGGCTCCCTGGCTCTGCTGACCCTCAGCTGATACCCTTGGGAGGGAAGACCAGGGCAGTGGGTGGGATGGTGGTGGGCTGGGGGTGCCTGGCAGCAAGCTGGCGACTCCCACCCACCAACCTGCAGCCTCTCGGGCCAATCACTTCCCACAGATGCATCAAACATGGTTTTAACCTGAGGGTTGAGTTGGAGGCTTTAGGTTAACGTTCTGGCCGACACGAGGCTCCCGTACACACTCTGGAGCCTCATAATTCCGGAAGAGGTGGAGTTCAGCCGGCTGCCGGTCGGACAGTGTCCCTGTCAGCATCACCCTGGAGAGAAACAAGGAGCAGGACACTGAAGCCACTGACCCATCCGCCCTTGACAACCCACCTTTGGCAATTTTTGTCCAAACTGCCGACGCACTAATTCTTAAACTCAGCATTCCTACTTCTGGGAACCCATCCTAAGACACTCCCATGTGTGCGGGGAGATGGGCACACACTAGGCTATTAATGGCATTAAAGCAAACGACTGGAAACAACTAAATGTCCACCAGTGGGACGACGGTTCATGCACCGCGGCTCCTCTGTGCAGTGGGGTCTGCGTCGCTGGAGAACGGCTGAGGTATTACTTCATGTACTGATGGATGGTGAGTGCCAAGATTTATATTTAAGTGGAAAAAGCAAGGTTCAGGACAATGTGTATAATATGCCACCATTTATTTAAAAACAAACCCCCAAAGACCCTATGTACCTATTTGCTTGGTCAGAGGGTAACTCTGGAAGGACCCATGTGCAGAACCTGGCAACAGTGAGCTGCCTCTGGGACAGGAGACTGCTTGGGGGCTGCAGCTCCAGGACAGGAGTCGGGGGAGACTTTTCAGCATGTCATCTCTGATACCTAATCAGTGTTCTACCATGTGAGTCTACAACCTGTTAAAGAAGACTCCTAACTGTCTCAAGAGACTCAGGCATCCTTAAATACTGAGGGGAGTGTAGACTGACACAGCCCCCTTGGAAACTAATATGTATTCAGACCCTTACAAATGTCCTGGCTCTTTTTTTTTTAATTTATTTTCTTTCTTTATTTTTGGCTGTGTTGGGTCTTTGTTGCTGCATGAGGGCTTTCTCTATTTGTGGCGAGTGGCGGCTACTCTTCGTTGAGGTGCGCAGGCTTCTCGTTGCGGTGGCTTCTCTTGTTCCGGAGCATGGGCTCTAGGCACGCACGGGCTTCAGTAGTTGTGGCTTGTGGGCTCTAGAGCGCAGGCTCAAGTAGTTGTGGCGCACAGGCCCAGCTGCTCTGTGGCATATGCGATCTTCCTGGACCAGGGCTCGAACCCGTGTCCCCTGCACTGGCAGGCAGATTCTTAACCACTGCGCTACCAGGGAAGACCTGTCCTGGCTCTTTGATCTGTGAATTCCGTTTTGGAAAATCCAGCCTAAAGGAATAATCTTGGTTACAATGAAAGCTTTTTGTTTAAGGCTATTCATGCAGTGTAATTTATTACAGTGAAAAGTGAATGCTCTACATGGAAATAATAGGAGGGAGTGCCTAAACAATGGAATGTTTTGCAGCCATTTCAAATTACACTAGCAAGGAGTTGAGACTAACACAGAAAGGTGTTTGTTACAATGAAAAATATAAAGAAAAGGGAACAAAAACTATGCATGGGAAAAGAAGATTAGTTTTCCACCTCTAAGAATCTTGTGGAAAGGTTATTTGAACATATCTCTCAGTGAACAAAAAACTAAATGCTGGAAAAAAATTGTTTTTGATCTTCAAAGCACAGAAGGGGCTTCCCTGGTGGCGCAGTGGTTGAGAGTCTGCCTGCCGATGCAGGGGACGCGGATTCGTGCCCCGGTCCGGGAAGATCCCACATGCCGCGGAGCAGCTAGGCCCGTGAGCCATGGCCGCTGAGCCTGTGCATCCGGAGCCTGTGCTCTGCAACGGGAGAGGCCACAACAGTGAGAGGCCCACGTACCGCAAAAAAAATAAAATAAAATAAAAGCACAGAAGATTGGGTGATTGGGATTGACATGTATACACTGATGTGTATAAAATTGATGACTAATAAGAACGTGCTGTATAAAAAAAAAATTAAATAAAATTCAAAAATTCAAAAAAAAAAAAAGCACAGAAGATTTGATAAGATAGAAAGGAAAGATGAGGGTAAACTCTGAGGATAAGCAAGAACTCACAGAGGTAAATGGAGCACAGACACATCTCTGACCTGAAGGCAGACACCAAACTATCAATTCGAACTTCCATGCTGATGGCCTCATGGGGCCAGAGGGACAGAAGTCAAAGCCCAGAGTTCACTGAAGGTTAGGGATCTAATGGGAGACCCTCCCCACATTAGGTTGTAATCCCAAAGGGCTACCCTCTTGGGTAAGGGTAAACCAGAAATAAACCTGCCCCTTTCCCATGCCTGGAGGCTGTGAGTAAAGTTGCCTGGCATTAAACAAAGAAAGGAGAAAAAAAAAAATCCCCGAATATGTATAACCACAAACTAACCCTCCTGCAGATCTGTAGTCTAGATTCACATCACCTAGGGGGAAGTTCCAAAACCTTCATGCCAAGAATTTAGTTACAGTGACCCTAGATGCTACTGTACATGGGTACCTGGAAGATACAACGTAAGACACTCTGGAGAAGATACCCTCATTCTAGGCTTCACAGAATCTGCACATATTTCTCAACACTAAGGAATACCACACAGTTCCAAAAAAGGTGGGGAGGGGGACGTCAAGAAATAAACACAATGAATAAGAATAAGCATAAACAACACAAACAGCAAAACATACCTACATAAACAGCAGTTATTTGAATCCTCAAACAAAGACTGTAAAACAGCTATGCTTGGGACTTCCCTGGTGGCAGAGTGGTTAAGAATCTGCCTGCCAATGCAGGGAACACGGGTTTGAGCCCTGGTCCGGGAAGATCCCACATGCTGTGGAGCAATTAAGCCCACGCACCACAACTACTAAGCCTGTGCTCTAGAGCCCACGAACCACAGCTACTGAGCCCATGTGCCACAACTACTGAAGCCCGTGTGCCTAGAGCCCATGCTCCACAACAAGAGAAGCCACTGCTTGCAGCAACTAGAGAAGGCCCACGTGCAGCAATGAAGACCCAATGCAGCCAAAAATAAATAAATAAAATAAAATTATAAACAAACAAACAAACAGCTATGCTTACAATGTTGAAAGAGATCAAACACAAGCTTGATAATATTTTCAGGGAATAGAAAACTATAAGTAATGACCTAGAAGATCTGAAGAAAAAACAAAGAGTACTTCTAGAAATTTAAATAAATAAATAAAAACTCAATGAATAGGTTAAATGGAAACTCAGATAAAGTTAAAGAGAGAATTAGTGAATTGGAAAATAGGTAAGAAGAAATTATCCAGAATGCAACACAGAGAGATAAAATGAAAGAATATACAGGAGAAGTTAAAAGACATGAAAGACAGAAAAGCTCTAACATTTTCAACTGGAGTTCCAGAAGGAGAGGCAAGAGAAAATGAGGCAGAGGCAAGGTTGAACCAATAATGACTCAGGCTTCCAGAACTGAAGAAAAACATGAATCCAAAGATTTAAGAAGGCCAACAAATCCCAAGCAGGATAAATTAGAAGGAATTCATAACTAGATATATCATAGTGCAACTGTAGAGCACCAAAAACAAATAAACAAACACATAAATAAAAGCATCCAGAGGAAAAAAGACTACTTACTTTCAAAGGAGTAAGAGTTAAATTGAAATTGACTGCAAGTGTAACAATGGATGCTAAAAGGTATAGAATGATATCTTTCTTGTTCTACAAGAAAATCACCAGCCTAGAATTCTATACTCAACAAGAATAAGAGAGAAATAAAAGAATGTTCAACTGATAAGGGTGAAATACAACTAGTTTCAAATGATGAGAGTGAAATAAACCTATCTTCAAACAACTCTGCTAGTGGAGAATTCACTACCAGCAGACCATCTCTGTGGGAAAGGCAAAAGAAGGTACTTTAGGCAGGAGGAAGGTGGTCAGAGGAAGGACTGTAAAGCAAAGAAGTGATACACATGTATACATACACACACACATATGCATACTCATATACATACACACATACATGAGCTGGAGCCAGCTCATACTGGCTTGTGAGAACCTATTGCTAAATCTCGTGAGCTGGTTGTTAAACTGTTGGTAGCTTGAAATCAGCCATGGTGGGGGTATTTATGCCATGGGAATTGGCAAACACTACAAACCAGGGTTTTATCCCCCTAGAGATCTGGTTTCCCAGCTCACCGCTAGATAAATATAAATAAACATCAACTTCAAAAAACAATATCTTGTGAGGTTTTAAAAAAACAAGATAGATTTAAAATTCATAAAAGTAATTACTGGGTTGGCCAAAAAGTTCGTTTGGGTTTTGCCATAAGATGGCATGGACCTAGAGACTGTCATACGAGTGAAGTAAGTCAGAAGGAGGAAAACAAATAACGTATATTAATGCATATATGTGGAATCTAGAAAAACAGATGAACTGGTTTGCAAGGCAGAAATATAGATACAGATGTAGAGAACAAATGTATGGACACCAAGGGGGGAAAGCGGGGGGGTGGGTGGTGATGGTGGGATGAACTGGGAGATTGGGATTGACATGTATACACTGATAGGTATAAAATGGATAACTAATAAGAACCTGCAGTATAAAAAATAAATAAAATAAAATTCAAAAAATAAAAAGAATGATTTGTGCCATCCAAATTCTTCTGCAATTTTCTTTAAAAAAAAAAAAAATCCTTGATTATCTGAGGGGGGATAATGGTATCAATTAAATTTAGACTTCTATAATATGCACTAAAAAAAAGACAACAGAAATGAGTGCATAAATTTCAAACTATTGGGTTGGGGGTGGAATGTAATGATTAAAACTATTCAGTAAATCCAAAAGAAGGCAAGAAACACGGAACAAAATAGGATAGCATATGTCATCCCCAAAATATGAGTAATTATGTAAGTATAAATGGATCAGCCATATAAACTATTAGATTAACTATAGGAAGGTTCTGATAGCCAAACCAATCAGCTAAAACAGACTTAACTAATTAAATAACTTAAATAAATATATTACTATGCAATAAAAATCTATAAATAAACTAAATGCACAGATTAGATAAAGAACAAGTCCAACTATAGGCTATTTACAAGAGAGACATGTAAAACATAAGGATCAAGAAGGCTGAATTAAAGCATGAGCACAGACACACCACATGCAGATATAACCAATGGAAGCTAGTATAACTGTATTAATATCAGACAAAATTAAGGCAAAAAGTATTCTTAGAGGGCTTCCCTGGTGGCGCAGTGGTTGAGAGGCCGCCTGCCGATGCAGGGG